CCACACAAAGGACCAGGGTAGGAGACAGAGGTGCCTGAAAAAATCTAACTGATGTATTTGTCTATATTAAGAGGAATGTTACATATCTACTGGAGAGTTTGAAAAAAATCGAATATTGGGCTGATATAAAATTAAGCAAATAAAAATATGACACAACCACTACTGTCATGAAAAAGAAAACTGTGTAAAAGAAAGGCAATGGGATTATAAAGCCATGTGGTTTACATGACTAATATATGCATAGCCCAAATAATGTAAACACCCATTAGTACTTCATCTAAAATTGTTATGTAATTTAATTTGGAGGATGAGAGAGAGAGAGAGAGAGAGAGAGAGAGAGAGAATATGTGTGTGTATGTATCCACAAATCATTTTGATAGGTTTCCTTCTAGCCTTTATCCTTCCTTCTGGTACACACAGATGTTCTAATATAGTTGAAATAATGATGCATATAGATTTATAGCATATATATATGCTATAATTTTTAACCTAAGTGTTATTTAGCCCATGTCTTTCTGTTGTCATTAAAACTATCATAGTTCCCAGTTTTTCTCTATCAAACATGATGCTATAATTAGTGTTTTTATACGCATGGCCCTTTTCATAATTAAGACTATTTTTATACCATAGGCATTCACATTGGGTGTTCTTTTAATCCTAATTAAAATCAATTAGCCTTTAATAAGATTATACATAGTATGCTGTTGTTTTGAGTCCTTTTTATATGTGTTTTCTAATGTGGTCTATGTATAGTTCTACTTTTTTGGGGGCAATGTCTATTTTAATTATTTTTCAAACAACTACTATTTGAATTTATTATTAATTTTTTCTCAGAAAAAGCCACTGTTCACCTACGCCCCACGAAACCCTCGTTTTGCATAAACAGTGTCCATTCAGGCTGTTATAACAAAATACCATAGACTGGGTGGCTTATAAACAACAGAAATTTATTTCCCACAGTTCTGGAGGCTGGGAAGTTCAAGTTCCAGGCACCAGCACTTGGTGTCTGGTGAGAGCCCATTTGTGGTTCATATATGGATGTCTTTGCAGTGTCCTCACATGGTGGAAGGGACAAAGGAGCTCTCTGGGCCTCTTTTTTATGGTCACTAATCCTATTCATAAGGACTCTACCTTCATGATCTAATCACCTCCAAAAGGCCCCACCTCCTAATACCATCACATTGGGGATTAGGTTTTAACATATGAATTTGAGGGAACACAAATATTCAGTCTATAGCAAATAGTATAGGTTTTCAAAAAATAAATGCTGTGCAGTAGGCAAAAAAAAAAAAAATCATCTGCAAAACCATCACCTGAGAATACCCCCTATGCCAGTCTCTAAAGGACCACAGGGAGGAAAAACATAAGGGGTCATTGCTTTATAATAACCAGTTTCTTTACACACATGGATGCCTCACAAATCAGCTGAGCTATGAGTTTAAATACCTTGTTCACCCCTGTAAGAAGCCTGCTACTCACATTTGCCATCCACAGAACTGTGCTAATACAGTCTATTTTTGGAGAATGGAGCAGAGATTAGCTGCTTGTTCATGATAAATCAAGGGTACTTGATTTGCCTGTTACATGCCCAGTTTTCTTTGGAAGAAAGCCCTGGGAGCTATTTTTCTGATCAAATTCTAACTCTCATGTTAGTCCTTATAAAAGAGAAAAATAACATTTACTCATGGTAAATACTGAGTTCTAACCATTATAAATCTTATCAATTACCTTGTGAAGGTTAGCAAGAAAAAGTTTTTTAAAAATTCACATTGTGGCCAGGCCGGTGTGGCTCAGTGGATTGAGCATTGCCCCATAGACTGAGAGGTCCTGGTTTGACTCCTGGTCAGGGCATATGCCTGGGTTTCGGGCTCAATCCCCAGGAGGAAGCCTGCGGGAGGCAGCTGATCGATATTTCTCACATTAATGTTTCTGTCTCTCTCTTCCTCTCTCTCTAAAAAGTCAATAAAAATATATATATATATTTTTTATCCTCACCCGAGGAAACTTTTCCACTTTTTGCTCAGGTAGAGTGGGAGGGAGAGAGAGGAACAGAGAGAGGAAGAGAGAAACATCGACGTGAAAGGGACACATCGAGTGGCTGCCACCCGCACGACCAACCAGGGCCGGGGACAAACTGCAACCGAGGTACATGCCCTTAGCGGGAACCGAACCCGGGTCTCTCAGGACCGCAGGCCGACGCTCTAACCGCTGAGCCAAACCGGCCAGGGCTAAAAATATACTTTTAAATAAATAAAAATTCACATTGTCTTCTCATTCAAACGTAGATTTGGACTAATGCTACTACTGTTGCAGACTATTCTGGGCTTTCCATGATTGGCACAGTTGAACTATAAGGGGAGACAAATTTGGGAACCTAAAGAGACACTTGATTGATGAATATTGCACTATAAGAAAATGGCCAGTAACAACATATTAAGGAAATTGTTGTATTTTACTAATTATTATGAAATGTTAGAAAGACCTAACATTTCTACTTTTTTCTTTTTCTTGGAAGCCAGCAAGATCAATCATATTCGCCGTGTTGATATTTAGAGTCAGTCACTCACACAGATATAAAATGCACAATAATTTTTGGGGACAGGGCTTCAATGAAGGTGCTCAGAACCTAATATACCTTCCATATAATCTTTTGGTTAATTGCTTGAAAGGAGATATAATTTTTTCTGAAAAAAAAATCAAGAAAAATGCAAAATATATTTTTCTAAAATGTGAGCCAACTTATAACCATTTTCCATAGGTTAACATATACACTTTTGAACACGCAGTTCTTCAGTTTCAACAGACATTTCTTAGTGTCAGCTATGTGCTGGTGTTCACTCAAAATACAACAAGCGAACAGTGTGAGTGAATGTGAACTAGATGGCCTGCCGCCAACTCTGTCCACTCTGCTTAGTTCACATGTGTTTTAACACCATTCATTAGCCTTGTGGAGAAGTGTTTTGAAAGAGGGGAGCAGAAACTCGGGGACAGGCATGCGTGCTCTCAAGTTTGTCTGTCTTTCTATTTATTGCTGAAGTCATTTGGATGTCCTTATCTATCAGCATTTCATATAGCCTGAAATTTCCCTAAGATAATCAACTTTGGGAATAAGAATAAAGAAAGATTTTTCCTTCTTTTTCTCCTTTATTTAATCATTTTTAAAGACATCTACTAATAGGTTAAGAAGTACCAAGCTGATAGAATGTCAGTCTATAGGAGGCATTAAAAAAAATAAATCACAGAAATAGCCCTGTCCTGGTGGCTCAGTTGGTTGAAGTGTCACCTGTACACCAGAAGGTTGCCAGTTCGATTTCCAGTCAGGGCACATAGCTAGGTTGTGGGATTGAGCCCCCGTCGGGGCACCGATCAGAGGCAACCAATAGATGTTTCTCTCTCACAGCACCGTTTCCCTCTCCCTCTCTCCCTTCCTCTCTCTAAAAATCAATAAACACATATCCTCAGTGAGCATTTAAAAAACAATATCACTGACATAAATTAGTAGTGTGCTGCCAGTTCATCATGTTTTCACTCATGATACCCTAAAATGATCTTGTTCTAGATGTGGTAAAAAGACCACCTAGAACAGAAAATATAGAAACAACCACCAACAAAGGGAAAGCTTTCTTTCTGGAGTCAGCCTTTCACCGACACATACTTTTGAGATGTCTATACAAGTTGCAAGGAGCAGCTGCAGCCACGCCACTGCCCTGAGCCTGCCAGCTGACAGTTGCCTGGAGCTGGCAACCAGAGCCAGCTGAAACTCCTGTTGGGGCTGTGGTCTGTTTGATTACTGAAATTATAAATCTTTAATTAGGCCTTTCAAGAAGTCGTCTAGTTATAAAGTTACTCGCCATAAATTCACTCTTTTGATCATGAAGAGGTAAGTAATTTTCAGCAGCAGATTTTCTGGACCTCAGTGACCACTAAGTAAATATTCAACAAAAGTTTATTTAGTGATTTAAAGGAGTTCCTCATTATTAATCCTTGTCAGGTCCTATTTGATGAAATGTACTTTTTCTCATTTCTTTGCCATCATTTTCTCTTTTTTCAGATGTGTGTGTATGCAACACACACACACACACACACACACACACACACACCCCGCACAATTTTTTCTCAGTCCTCACTAAATATTGCAAGACAGTTCTAGAAAAAAAGGTTTGACAGGGAGGAAGAAATGTCTGTACCCTCTCCTCCTGCTGTGTGCAGTGTATACTATAGGACAACTGAAATCAGTTTTACACAATGCCTCTCGACCAAGTGTTCTCTCACAGAAAAGTCACAGTTGCTCTCCAGAATAGGGTCAAGCAGGCAGCCTGACTGTTTCTTCCTCTACTGGGTCCCAACACATTTGCTAATAAGGAAATTCAACTTCTAACTAAAGATTTTACCATTTCCCTTGTTTTGTTTTACTGCATCCCTAGCCATTTGGGGTAAAATTATAGGTGAATATTTAAAAGCTGTGAGACAACAAAAAGATTTGTAATGCCCCAAAATATTTGCTCCATTCTCCTCAAAGTTAAGAAAAAAAAAATCCAGGAAACTTACTTTGTATTATGTATACCTGGGAAGTTTTTCAAGCTGAGTAACAGAACAGAACTTGAGCTGCCTTGCTTTCTGCTTCCAGGAATGCCAATCAGAGAACATTCTTTTTGAGACAGCCAAGTTTGGAAGTCAGTTGGTTTCTGGCAGTAAGTAGGGGGAGGGGAGGGCAGGGGTGGGAAGCACAGGGAGTCCTCCTGCTGATCTTCAGTTTCCAAGTGTTTCCGTAATAGCCGTCAATGAAAGCATCTCCTTTTACCCAGGCAGAGACAGGTAGAAAGACAGCTGAGTAAATCAGCGTTAGATGTAACAGCGGAAGCTCAGTCAGACGGAGGAGGGGCTGAAGGGAGGACGCTTGAAAGCCTGCCATTGGTGAGTTTACCAAAGTCATCTGCCAGTGGGACTTCAATGGAATGTGAAACCAAATCATTTTCAAGTTAAAGATAGACACAGTATACACCAGGCTCTAGAAGCTGGATTTTAAACTCACATCTCTCCCTAGAATTTTGGAGAGTTCTGTTATGATCTCTGTTGTAAGTAACAATTTGGTTGAAGTTTATTCTTCAAGTGAATGTGCTAAGAATTCATATATTTCTGGATATACTGGAATTAAAAGGATTTAAGAGATCCTGCTGTACAAACCCTAGGGTAAGTGAAAAGATTGGTTTTAAGGAGCATCTCTTCTCTGGGAAGGATAATGTTGATTTTTTCTCTTTATGTGTGTGAAAGAAAAAGTGATAATGAAAATTTTTCCAGTGTTGTGCTTTTTACCTTTCTTGAAATATCTGGCATTTTACGTTTTGCACGGCAGAGTTTGGGAATTTACCTTGCATGTCTGTAACTTCAGTTTTGCTGTACCCTTCCTTACTTTTCCCTCTATTAACTCCTCCTCCAACACCCTGCATTTATTGAATGATAATGTCAGTAGTTATATGTCACCACACTGACTGTTAGTGTCCATGGCGCCACTGGATGCCATCTGTATCATTATTGTGAGATGGACTTATTTCCTTTGCATGCCACTATGGTGCTTCGTCATTAAAAAATAAAATAAAATAAAGAAGGGGGGAAAAAGTGGTTGAAAGTGCATAAGGAGCCTTTAGAAAATATTTAGTATTGAAAAAAATTAGAGAAAATAGCCAGTTTTCCAGTGACGAGAACCATTTATTAATGGGAGTTATTTTTTGGTGTCGCCTCATTAGTTCCAAGCAGATCCTCTTCCTCCCCCAAAGCTGATATTTGCTAAGTGAAGGGAGACATCCTGATTATCCAGAGCTTGAGAGTGGAAGAGGGTACAAGTTGTCGAATTTGCTCTTGCCACATTGTGTTTTAAGGATTTCAAAACTTTTTTCTTTAAAAAAAAAAAAAAAGAATGACAGACTTTAGTTCCCTTCATGTTTTGACCATGTATAGGTTTGCTTTCTTGTGTTGTCAAATGACCTCTCAGCTCTGCTCTAGAGACAGCTTTTCCAAACTTGCACGGCATTCTCTCAGAATAAATACTGTCCATAATAGTCATAGAGTACATGGTGTGAATTGGAAATTCTACTTTATATGGGGAAAATAAATCTGCTGACGTTCTTATTACAGAGTGTGGGACTGAACAGTTGTGAAATGCCACTGGCCGGTTTTTGTTCTGTCAAATAGACTGGATTCTAATGAACTAAGTTGGCTAAACTAGATACAAACAACGAATGACTTAATATGGATATTTCACTCAACTTTAATAAGAATAAAAAATATAGTTATGCTTCTAAAATGGAAAACTGAGCATTATATTGATAACGTCACTTGATTTTACAACCACTGAATAATCTAGCAAGACCAAACAAAATGTAAAGTTGTCAGAGCTCAGTCTGGGTGCCTTCTCCCTGCTTACTTTGCCCACTTTCTCTCTCCCCCTTCATACCCCTTTCTCCCTCTCAAACCCTAATGAATGTCACTGCTAAATACCCTCCTTTTCTTGCAGTCAAGATCTATCCTTAATGAAGAATCTGACTATATAGAGTGTTTTAAAGTCAGTACACTAAGTCCATCAGGAATATTTGCATTTCGTTATAAATACCTAACCTTCAAACAGTTAAAACAATTATGTTAAATCATAGTTTACCTACCCTAATACTTAAAATAACCCATTAGGTTGTAAAAACTTAAAGTTAATGTTCATTCCCCTGCAAGTGGATAGTACCTTAGAAATTTTCCCCTGGTGACATTGAACATCTGTTCTCCTTGCTTTACCCAGCAGCATCTGTTGACAATAGCAGTGAGCCTGAAAGAAATCACAGGTGTTTCCCAGAAATTTGTAAGTGCATGCACGTGTGTGCTCACTACACACACATGTACACACACATACTTAAATGTAGACTTACCTTTTCCTTAACTAATATATTTCTGATTGAATTATAGCTATACATTGAATTATATTAGACTTATCAATGTGGGGTTTTGTTGTTGTTTTCCATGTGTCAAAAGTAAACAGAAGCAAATATAAAATTTTTAAATTCTAAATTGTAAGAATTTTAAACTAGGTGGCCAAATACTGTTGACAGGATAAAGGGCAAATGAATATTTCTCTGCAACTATTATGTCACTCATTAGTTTCTAGTTCCATGCCTAAATTGTCAAGCTTGGATTTTATTTGTTTGAATATAGTAAGTATAGTTGTTTTATAATATATGTCTGTTAATTCTCATGTTTCAAATGTTATTGGGTTATTATTGTTCTTGCCAGTTCTCATTTATGGTGTCTTATTTTCTTGGTTGCTTGGATATTCTTGATCATCTGCTGGAAATACTTTCTAAAAAATTATTTTTAAAAATAAGTTGAGACCTAGTGTGATAATATTTTTAGCCAGAGAAGACTTTGATTTGCTTCTGCCAGGCACTTGAGGGCAATATCAGACCGGAATCACTTTAGTCAAAGTGCTACACCTACAATTTCTCAATTACTCCCATGCCAGGAGTTGGGCTGCAAATCTGTGTGAAGAATGGCTTATTTTGGGTTCCCTCCTACTCTGAAGAGAGATATGGCCCTTAAAGTTGGGTTAGTTTATTAAAGTGCTCACCTGAGGACCATGGCTTTGATATTCCTAGGAAATCGATAAAGCTGCCCCAAATTTAGCTAGTTTCTCAGATCTTTTGTTCATGATAGTCATATACCCAAGGGCAAAAACTTTCAAAAATGAGCTTCCCTCTCTGAGTTCTGTTCTTCTAAATTTCCCTGTGTGAAGTCCACCTTCTTATTAACTCTTTGCTGTCTTAATATTTTAAATATTTTCAGGTACTTCAGTGGGAGTAGCAGTCCAAATTATCTCATTACTATTACCAGAAATGAAAATGTACTGCTGCTTTTATAATCTTTTTTTTTTTTTAATACTCCTCATTCTAGACAAAACATCAGACAGTCTGCTGATATCATTGATAATTTCAGGGAGTTTTTCTGATTTTTTGTTTTTAGTTGTGATCTGATCTGTTCAGGCTTTTGGGAGAAATTTGCAAATGCATGCCGATTGGAAGATTCCAATCCTATTTTCCAGCCCTATTTGAGCTGTCAACAATACTTAACAGTGCTTTTATTTGTCCCATGCTGGCCCCTTTTCTTAGTAATCTCTTTAGTCTCTCTAATCCACCCTCACTGCCATCACTCTCAGCTGTTGACCTTGACTCCTTCTACTGTCTTTTGGCCTATATACACTATCACCACAAGTAAAGAATTATCTTAAATAAATTCCTTCCTTTCCATTCTCTTTAAAATTACTCTATTTCAGCTCTTTGTCATCTCGCTTGGGTATTACTATGGTCGCCCAGTTGTAGTCCTGCCCCTAGACTACCCCCAACACATCCCCAACACTAGGATTATTTGTAGTAATCCCCACACTTGTTTAAAACGTCACACCTATCTTCGAAAAGTCATAGAGATGAATAAATTGCTCCCCTACTTTAAAATCTCTAGTGGTTCACCATTCCCTTCAAAATAATCCCTAAATATATCTTAAAGACCTGCCACAAAGCCTTGACCTGTGTCTCTAACATCATTCGCACTACTTCACTGGTTATCACCAACACTTTAATGGCACATGATTGCTGCCTCCAGAATATTGTGTGTACCTCTGTGCTAGTCGAGCAACTATTTTTCTCCAGAATGCCCACAGTTCATCTTCTTTGTGAGCAAATCCTACTTCTTCAAGGTTGATCTTATAAGTCTCCTTCACTATACTTTCTCTAATTGTGTATAGCTCACTCACCATTCTAGGAACCCCTGATGGCAGGAATTATGTCTTACGAACTTTTGTATTCTCAGTAGCTGACATAGAAATTATTCAAAACATGCTTAAGGAATGAACAGGTGACTATTCTGAGGGAGTTTTCTTCAACAATTTCTTTTTTACTTTATTCTTTTTCTTTCCATATAACATTATTCTTTGTCTTTAGACTCTTTGCCTAGGATAGCAATCATTAATGGTGTTCTATGTCAAGTAGAGTTCATTAAAAGTATGTTTGGTCATTGCTATTTTGTGCAGGAGGAGGTTATCTATTTCCATTTTTGCCAAATGAGACTGTATAACTCAATTGTGATGACAAAAAGATGACAGCCCTAGCCTGTGTGGTTCAGTTGGTTGGGCACCATCCCATGCACCAAAAAGTTGCTGGTTTGATTCTCTGTACCGCAGGCTGATGCTCCAACCGCTGAGCCAAACCGGCCAGGGCAAGTTGCTGGTTTGATTCTCTGTCAGTGTACATGCTTGGGTTGTGGGCTTCGTCCCCAGTAGGGGGTGTGCAGGAAACAGCCTATCTATGTTTTGCTCTCACATCGATGTTTTGCTCTCCCTCTCTTTCCCTCTCCCCTCCTGTCTCTCTAAATATCAATAAAAAATTGCTTTGTTCATAAAAGAGATGATGGAAATTTAAATATGATAAATTTGCTTTTTATTTTCAGGGATTCATAATCAAAAAGAAAGTCATAGAGTTGGAAAACTGACATGTTTTAACAGATCTAGTCCATAATGCTAAATAGTACAAATGAAAATAGTCAATGCAACAAAACTAAATTAAAATGATCTCATTGCACATAATCTAAATCTGAAATATCAGAAAAATGTTTTATTGGGTTGTTTTCATATCAAAGCAGGGTACTTGAAGGAAAGCAGTTGATTGCTTATGTGATATGACATTATGACCTTAAGTTTAAAGTTGGCTGAAATGTTTTATCAAATGTTTAAGGCCTTGACAAGCAATGCTAATCTTGTTTTATTATTTTAAGTTAAAAGAAACCCTGCAATCGCTCATTAAAAATTGAATATAGTTAGTGGGGACCAGGCAAAATATAGCTTACTAATTCTAAAGATATTTAACTAATTTTATATTCCTCAGATCACTTAGAAGTTTTTCACACATTTATTATATGCCTTTGATATGCCAACTTCTGAGATTTAGAAAAATAAGAAATTTTGCTTTGGCTTATATTTTTTCTCATACAAGGCTCTTATACCTCTACAAAGACAAAAGCCCCAATATGAATAAGGTAAAAATTTATTTTTAATGAATTTTGAGGAGTGTGGGAAGAGATTAACCAAGGTTATATGCATGTATGCATAACCAATGGACACAGACAATAGCTTGGTGAAGGCATGGGGGTGGGCAGAAGTGGGG